GAAGGTTGCGTTACTGTGGCGATTGGTGGCATGACTCGGTTGGTTCCAACTCTGGATGAGCAGCATGATGTCGGTGTCAGATTCTGGCAATTGTTGGACGAGGGCATCGAACAATGGGTGCGGGAGAAGGGAGCCGGGTCGAGGAGGCTGCGGAGGAGACGCCAGAGGCACGACGCGTCCATTCCCGGCCAAAGTGACTCGTCGCGGGTGCGTCTTTCTATTCTCGACGCGGTCTCGTGTGTTCAGTTGTGCATTCAGTTGCGCATTCAGTCGCACATTCAGTTGCAAATTCTGGCGTGTCCTGAGCGTGCAATACATGCGAGCAGACGTAGGGACGCGTCGAGCGTAGCCGGCGGCACGCGTCTGGAGACGGCCGGATGTGGCAATGGGGCGCCGGGAGCGGGGAGCGGTGCTTGCTCAGCGCTCAGCATTGGCTGGGACTTGCTCGCGGCTCGCGTCCGCGCTGGGCTACTTTAGGGTGCCTCCCTCCGCCCACCCCTAATCATTTTTCCTCATCTCCTCCCTCCGCCGTATTTCCCTCCGCCCTTCCATCATGCACCGTTCCTTCTTCTGAATCCATCCCATAACACCCCGACTCGACGTCTGTATTGCTGTATCATTATTGCCCCTCGCAATCTCCTCATATTCGCCCCCCGTCCGCTCACTCGACGCGTCCCAGCCATCCGCAATGACCATGGCTCCTCTGCACTCTCCTCAACCTCACCACGCGTCGCCTGTCTGCTCTTCGTCTCCCTATCGTCCTCTGCAGTCCCCGCCTATCTATCTACCTGACGAGATGGCATATGTAAGTATCTCCTCCCCTTCGCGTCCTGGCCTTGCCCCCTCACTCTACCCCCAGCGCGCGTCCTCACAACGAATTCTCATGAGCCCACCACGGCTGTTGTCCCCCATCCACATGTCCGAGCGCAGTGCACACAAGGCCACCGTGAGTTTCCTCGCGTGTATTCTCGTAATTGCCAATGCTGACGTGATTCCAGTTGTCCAAGTCACCACCACCATGCAGTCCCGCTAAGAGGCGACGAGGTGCTGTTGGTAATTCGCGTGTGTCCCGGAGACGTACCTGTGCACGCCCAGAGTGCTTCATCAAGCCCGCCGGACCTGCTCTATTTGATGGGCTGCCATGGATTTCCGGTATGGAGGCCATTCCGGATGGCATCGATGCATGGGATATCGCAGACCTTTCTCTCCTGTGTGTTGAGAACCTTCCGGGCGCTGAAGCACCGAGCACAGGTCCTGTGCGACGGACGAAGACGTCATCGCGCAGTAGCCCGTTGGCGCCGCGCCCGGAACTCATCCCTGAGCATGTCCACAGGCCGCTACCCACGCTCGAGATCCCTGCGCGCGAGACTCTATGTTTCGACCGCATCGCGTCAGACCCCCGGACGCCACCACCACGCGAAGCATTCGTACCTTCGGAAGTTTTGTTTCAAGGTTTACACCCCGTCCTTCCATCCGAACTCCGCAACTTTTAGACGTATGTTTCCCTGAGTCGGTCACCACGGACCGTACCTCCCCCCTCGATCTGCCACATATACACGGCATCACCATATTCAACTCAATCTCCAATCATTGCATCACATTTTGGCAGATATCAGTCGCACGACATTCTCATCGACCCATCGTCTCTTATCTATTGGCCATGTTGCCCCTTGCAAGACCCTCACGTACCCAACGTCGACACGACCTCGACTCGATCTTTTCACCAGCTATCATCGATATGCTACCCGCCATATACTCGACCAACCCCTACCGTCTTTGCTTAATATCGACGCCGTTATATCTCGCTTCGCGCTCTTAATGCGCTGTACTGGTCTTCTCTACGCCGTCCCGGCAGTGCCCAACGTATCTATCACGATCTCCCTTTCGCCTTGAATCTCCCCGATATCCCCAAAGCGATACGCTTCTTGTTACTTGATATCGGTTGGTTCTTGGTCGTCAATGCTTTTCGTCTTTCACGCTGTTTATATTTACGAACGTCCTTTGTGCTATAAAGCTATGTCGCTTTCGGATTCGCGGTATATACGTGGACGCGGTTCCTCTCCCTCTACGGCACGTTCTCGTATCGCCGTAGTCTCGTATCGTGCTCGCTCTCTTACCTTTAGACTGTACGATGCAATGAAGAAGCAGAAACTCTCCTAGGAGCGCGTATGACATACGAAACTCAGTAAGAAGCAGCTGGTGGTAACATAGCACTGCTCGTCGAGCACATCGCGATTCACATCTCCGAAGCCGCTCCGACGGGGCGCGCCTGTGGGTCGCGTCATGAGCATACAGTGACGCTTGGCGCGAGCACTCTAGCTGGTGCCTGGTCCGAGTCTGCGACTTCATTTAGCACGACGGGATTAATACCTGTGCGAGCCTGCCCCTCAAAAGCTCGCGTTGAGCGACCGTCTCTGTGTGTCTGTCTCCACCATCGTCTGCTGCTCCACTTGCCAATCAGCTCCGCTCCTACTACTGGTAAACGACCAAGACTAGGTGACTCACTTCCGAACTGCTTGCATCGTACGACCGCATACAGGAAGATCCCACTTTGACGACTCCTGGTTATTGATTGTGAGTGGCATGGCGATATGCATAAAAGAGTCTCAGTCTCGAATCGTTCACAGATCTCAAAAACCTTGACCGTGTTCTCCACATCCATGGCTTCCGAACGAGTCATCAATTTCGGCGCGGGTCCCTCTGCCCTGCCAGTGTCCGTGCTGGAGGAGGCGACGCAGGGTCTCCTCAACTTCCAGGGGACCGGCATCGGCATCGCGGAGATCTCGCACCGCTCCAAAGAGTTCCAGGCGTTCATCTCGAACCTTGAGGCGAGCATTCGTACACAGCTCGATGTCCCCTCGACGCACCACATCCTGTTCACACAGGGGGGCGGCTCGGGCCAGTTCTCAGCGGTGGTGCTCAACATGCTCGCGCGGTACCGCCTCCTGCACCCGGAGCGCACGGCGGAGGACGCGGTGATGGACTACGTGGTCACCGGCTCCTGGAGCAAGAAGGCGGCGGAGGAGGCGCGGCGGCTGGGCGGCGGGCGCGTGAACGTCGTCGTCGACTCGCGCGGGCACTCGAAGGACGGCAAGGCGTTCGACAACATCCCCCCGCACGACGCGTTCCAGTTCTCGGAGGACCCCGCACTGATCTACTACTGCGAGAACGAGACGGTCGACGGCGTCGAGTTCTCGCACGAAGAGTCCTCGCCCGCGTCGTTCCCCTTCCACCTCCTCAAGACGGACGCGCTCGTCCCGCTCGTCGCGGACTACTCCTCGTCGTTCATGTGCCGCCCGATCCCCCGCCTCGCGGACCACGCCATCATCTACGCCGGCGCACAGAAGAACATCGGGCCCGCCGGGCTGACCATCCTCATCGTCAGGCAAGACTGCATCGTGGACGTCGACACCGCGGCCAAGCTCGGCGCGGCCCCTGTCCCGATCACCATGTCGTACAAGACGCTGGCCGACTCCGGCAGCCTCTACAACACCCCGTCCGTCCTGCCCATCTACATCGCCGGCCTTGTCCTCGACCGGATGCAGAGGCATGGCGGTCTCAAGCACTACGAAGAGACGAACCGGCGCAAGGCTCTGAAGGTATACGACGTGCTCAAGGAGGGCGAGGCCGTGGGCATCTTCCGCGGCAAGGTCCAGGAAGGTGCTGGCAGCTGGATGAACGTCGTTTTCGAAGTAGTTGGTGCAGATGCAGAGAAGGAATTCCTCGACGGTGCTGAGAAGCGGGGTATGAAGGGTCTCAAGGGCCATCGGTCAGTCTTGGTAATTCTCATGCCCGCGGATGGAACTGATGCTGCATGACTTTACCAGATCTGTTGGAGGTTAGTGATTTCTCTCGATGTATGCTCGGACTTGTCGTAACATTCCTCTATTAGGTATTCGAGTCTCACTCTACAACGCGGTCACTGAGCAAGAGGTCGACCAGTTTGTGGAGTATGCGAGGGAATTCATCAAGAGTCACAGTACAGTCCAGTCATAGCCTAACCTGATTTACGGAATGATGTGATACAGTGAGACACTACTATTCTTTGTACAACTAACATGCTGGGGCATGGGTAGCTGCAATATGATCCTCCTCCAGCCTAGTGCAATTGTATACATACCTCTCTGGCGGTACGACACTCCAGATGACAACTGTCGGCCCCCGAGACTTCTCGCATCGTACCGCTCGTCGTTCAGTGCGCCCATGCGCTTGTTCTACCGCTGGAGGAACTGCCCATGGTTGTACCTGCGAGCACGAAGCCCACCTTGGTGCAACTTCTACTTCCTTCGAATGACCAAGACTCAACCCGTCAGCAGTGGTGTGTTGTTGCTGAGTTCCTCTTGGTACCTTTCGGTCAGATCCTTTGCACTGTATGGAGCTTATGCTGAGTCTTGTACATTGATGTCCACAGTCACGCCAGAGTTTCCAGACCTTGCAATAGAATCACGGGGCTGCAAGCAATGAATTATCACGGTGCACTCCGGGCTGACAACCTCTTGAGTTCCTCACTCGGTCCCTACACATTCCCCGTCCCCTCCAATGACCAATACATGTCTTGCTACCCAGCGAATCTACCATCTGGTAGTTGTAGGTAGTGGCAGGCAACTGTATGGATGAGGGCCAAGGGACCTATATTCTAGACTATAAGCAGATTACCCAGGACTATGGGGAATGCAGCGAAGGCTAGAGAATGCAAGGTATTACAAAGGAATGCAAGGGAGTGCAAGGGATTGCAAGGGAATGCGAGGGAGTGTGAGGGAGTGCAAGGGAGTACAAGGGATTGCAAGGGAATGTGAGGGACTTTAGGGGATCACAGAGGTATGCAAGGGACTGTAAGGGATTGCAGGAGGTATGCAAGGGATTGTGGGAGGTATGCAATGGATTGTAGGAGGTATGCAATGGATTGTAGGGGATTGCAGGAGGTATGCAAGGGATTGTAAGGGATTGCAAGAGGTATGCATGCGAAGGCATAATATACGTGGTCATGCATGGGTATGCAAGTCACTTTGCCGGAGTGGTTAACGGGTTCGCCTGCTAAGCGGATGGTCTTTGACCGCGAGTGTTCGAATCGCTCAGGTGACGAATTTTTACATTTTTTGGTGCGCGAGTGTTCGAGTCCCGCAGATTCCTAATAATTTTCGTAGTTCTCACGCGCTTTGCCTTCTCAAGCCTCTTTTTTACCTGCTTTTGACTCATTTGTTGCTCTGACAATCTCGGAAGATGTGACTGATGTATCAGAGAACTGTGGCCATGCGGTGTATCCGGTCCCCTACGGTGGACCCAGATGCCTGCCCACTGCTGACCCTCGTCTCGCTACATCCTGTTACGTTGCAGCTGGGTTTCACACGTTGTTTTACCGGCACAATACACAAGACCCTACTGGTCTAGATTATATGCATTGCCTGTTGATTGGATACTAAAAGATTTCGAAAAGATTTGAGTACAAGGTAATACCCCATATGAGATTGAGCTTAGCTATGCTTTGAAGTTCCAGATGAGTACGAAGTATGTCTTACCGAAATTTATAAGGGATGCGCCCTACTTCGGGGTCTCAAGCCTCTCTGACCACGATGCATACTCGTTTGTATCTGCCAATATTCCCTCTGTCTTTTTTTCAGTCCTTGATTACATCCTTGCCAATGGGGAATTGCAAGGCAGGCTCGGCGAGGTTTGTCAGGCAATAAAACACACGAACGGCCTTGAAGCCGGGATCCGAACCGGCTGGACCATTCGCCGCCCAGGATGATACCCAAGGACACACCATAGCTGCAGGAACTCGAGCGTAAGCTGGGAGCGGATCGACGCAAATCGCCTTCAGCGGTCCTTCAGCGGCGAAGGAGCCTGGCTCAACGATCGTGATGTGGATCATTTTCGTGACAACAGTTCCATGCATCAGCAGTCAGCTGCCAATAGACCTTGATGTTTCAAGAAGGGTCAGTCTCCTTGACAAGAGCTTCAAGCAACCTTTCGAGGGCTTACCAGCAAATCAATGAGTACATCGTACGTTTGACCTGCGTGGAATCATCGACTCACCAAATTTCGTCGGAATACAGAATCCGATAGAGGGCAGCCCGTGGAGACCACATGCAGCCGCTCGAACCTGATATCTTTCTACAGGAGTCTGAAGGAAATGTCTCGGTCTACAGGGACAAAAACATCGGCGGCGTAGTATCTACCAGGTAGCCTTAGCCAGTCAGCACTGCATCGAGCGCCATAGCATATGCGGTCTGGAAGAGAAGTACCAGAACGGAGAGCTCACTAGCATCGGGTAGTTGGTGTAATTTTGCGTATGCTTGTGCATCCGCGTGTTTTACCAGTCATATTATTGACATATCGAAATTATTCGACGGGGTCACCGCTGAGCCGAGTATGGTCGCGCATATAGCCTTGATTTGTTGCATTGTTTGTCATCTCCGAGTACCGTCCATTCGATTCCGTGACGCACCTTTCAATTCTTGGGGTTGAACATCGCTGATGTCAAATGTCGCGAGATCAGGTCAGATGGGCCCTAAGTAAGGAAGGGCAAGAATTCAGCTTCGCCAGTGTCGTTCCGCAAGACAACTAATTGGATATTCCGCGTAGGCTGTAGTAGTGGTCGCGGTGGACACTTGGAGAGCGGCGATGGTATAATTGGTACATTCTATGTCATAACAGGTCGATTCAGAGGTTTTCGTACAGGTTGAGCACACATAGACTATACCTTTCGGCAATCTGGTGATCGTAGAGACGCGTGCAAGGTTTCATCCTCTAACTGACAAGACCCAAGAACGAGAGCTAGCTTCTGCAATTCCACGCATTGTGACATATGTACGCTGAGAGCAGTGTATTGTGATGGTCGAACCTCAGGGTAGACCGTTAGACGTAATTCGATTACTTTTGGCCACATACCATATTATGGGTCGTCCCGACGAATTCTTGCCATGTTGAATCGTCTCACCGAGAGTACGTCAGATTGAGTATCGGCCACTATAGTACTGCCAATGTAAACATGGAAACTAAGGCATTGGTCAAGATGGTCAGATTCGTTGCCTTGGGATAGTAGAACATTGACACATGCGTATGTAATTTAGTGCGTACAAGCATCCAATGACTCTTGTATGGTTGGGCGCTGATGACAGATTATATCGAGTGGCTAGTTGAGAGAGAGAAGAACAGAATGAGCTGTGTAGCTTACCTTGTGAGTTAGTCAGCGATTCTGAACGAGCGAGATTCATGCACTAGGTTAGTACAAATGTGATCAAAAGCCGAGCACAAGCACTACATATAAACAGAGTACGGTATACTGTAAGTAGGTTGCAGAATAAGCACGACTCGGACTCCAGCGACTCAACTTAGAGGATGTCGCAGCATACCTGCTGCCATCGAGACGTGACATAGCCTCTATCCATGCGTATTTTTGACATAAGTCCTGGGTGGGTGTACGGCAAACGGAGCGAGTACAGCACAGCGACAGGACTGCATCTTGGGAGTCGGGGTGAAAGAACGGGATATGTGCGCATGGTGTAGCCCTCGCACCTTTATATACTCGTCGAAGACGTGGAGCTACTGGACATTGATCGGATGTCGTGACATCATTCTACGAGGCAGGAGCACCTCATGCCGGTAGGATGACAGCGGTCAGACAGAAGGAGGAGGCTTCGTGACGGTGCGCCGGCGCCGAACCCGATTTGGCGTCGCTCCTGCCAAATCTGTCAGTGTGCGCCTGTGCAGCTTCGCCACCTGAGGTTGTTGTGATCCTCTTGGTCGTTGACATGGCCAAGTCCGGCAGCAAGAAGGCAAACCTAGCGCAGGCCGGCGCGTCCGTGTCCCGAGCCTCTGCCGTTGCAGCTTTCCCCCAAATTAGACCGAAACCTGCGCTCGCGTGTCGCGTGTTCCTCGAGAATCAAATCTTGCTACTTGACGTTAGTTGTTGCTCTTCGGATTCATGTTTACTCGACTCACCAGCATAGGGGTTTGCGTCTCCGGAGGAATGCAAGGAAGTCATCAAGTACATTGAGGCGCAACAGCTCGAGCTGACACCACCGAAGAAAAGGGGTGAGGCGGAACGAGTGAACTGTGCGTCCTACCCTCTCAACTAGAGTATGCTCGTATAGCAGCTGAGTAGAACTTCCACCAGACCGTCATTCTATAACTTCTGTGGACATAGCGCAGAAGCTCTTCGATTTACTGATCCCGCATATGCCCGAGTTCGCGTACCCAACGCGAGTCAAGGGTCGCCCAGATGACGCGACCCGCACCCCGCATTCACTTAATACCAACATCCGGATGTATAAGTACACTCCTGGGCAGTATTTCGGGCCTCATTATGATGACTCTGTTCGCGACTCCATTACGGGACACAAGTCCGAATGGACACTTCTTCTCTATCTGTCTGGAGCAGAGGATGGTGTCAAAGGCGGAGAGGTACTGATTCTTGCTACTTTTCTCAAATCGAGAATGCACGTCTCACGTAGTCGAGCAGACTATATTCTACCAGGATCAAAAGGGCCGCCGACAAGACGCTATCGTACCGCCGCTGACACGGGGTACTGTTCTGTTGCATAGGTAGGTCGGCGCCTTCTTGGAAGCACTGTGCCAAGCGAACTGATGCATTGCCGACCAGGCACGGTCAGGATTGTCTGCTTCACGAAGGTTCCCCAGTGACGGAAGGCGTGAAATACATACTACGCTCCGATGTTATGTTCGCTGACTAGGATGAAATAAATCAAGAATCATCTACAGCTCGCAATCTGACACGACCAAATCCACTGCGAAAGTCAAGGGACTATCTCCTGCCCTTCGACTTCTTCTTGGACGGTATACCAGCCTCGACGACATCGTCATCCCTATCCCTATCGTCCTTCCCACCCTCTTCTCGTCTCCGTTTCCGCCCATGTCCTCCATTGATACCCTGCTCCTTGAGTTCAGTCACGGCAACTCTACCCGCCTCATCCACCCGTTCCCTCAGCAGAGCAATTTCCTCCGCATCCGTGGGCCACAATTCCATCTTCTTCCCGATAGTGGCCTCGATCCGCTGAACGAGTTCAACGTCATACTGGGTAACGAGCGTGACGGATTTGCCAGACCGTCCGGCTCGTGCCGTCCGGCCCACTCGATGGATGTAATCCTTAGAATGTGTAGGAATGTCGTAATTTATGACAACATCCACGGATGGGATATCTAGACCTCTATTCAGAGAATTTGAGAGATTGCAAAAAGCGGGACGAACGCTCCACACTTACCGACTGGCGACGTCTGTGGCGACTAATACCTTGCGACCACCACTCTTGAACTTGCCAAGGGCACCCAATCGAGCACTCTGACTCAACTGTCCATGTAGCGGGACGGCAGGGAAGCCCAGTGTCCGCAATATAATAGACAATCTAGCCGGCAGCAGTCAGTCTCCGATAGATGGGGAGAAGTGTCTTGGCTACCTCTGAGCGTCATGGACTGTTCGGGTGAAGATGATAATCGAATTTTGAGCAAGGGAGTTGGCAAGGTATATTAGATGCACGTCCTTTTGAACCAGAGGGATGAAAAGATAGTATTGAAGTAGCGTTGACACTGTAGAGTACCTGGGATCTAGTTCATAGACCGCTGAAACACTGAACTGAGGTATACGTACTTTTCGGATACCTCAACGCGGACAGGATTGGACAAGCTTGCCCGCTGAAGCTTTGCCACTTTTGTTGTCATGGTCGCAGAGAAGAGGTATGTCGTTCGTTCCTTCGGGATTACTTTCAGGATTTTATCAATGATAGGGCCGAAGTCCATGTCAAGCAATCTGTCTGCCTCATCCATGACCTACATATAACTGAGCTTCAGTAGATGAGCGACGTAGTGCGGCAAGTAAACTCACTCACTAAGAACTTAAGACCCCTGAGACTAAATCCTTTCGTGTTCTCGAGATGGTCATTGAGTCGACCAGGCGTTGCAACTACAATATGCGGCCTTTTTGCTAGGGCGACCGCCTGGTCCATTATCGGCATGCCGCCAACAATTGTGGCGCAGCGCACGCCAATTGCAGAACCCAAGCTCTCGAACTGTTGCGATATTTGATATGCCAATTCACGGGTAGGTGCCATTACGCATGCAAACAGACC